AGAGGCACCCGCGCAGGCCTGCCTTCCGGGAAGAGAAACCTCACACCAGGGGCATCTCTCCCCCCCCACACTCAGAGGTGATACTCAATCCTGCTGGCCTGACACTGGACCTGAGGGTTCACTTGAGAACAGCTCTTTTCTACGCCCTCTCCAGCATCGCATCTCTCCAGGGCCACTTGGGTTCCTGTTACTGCCTGCCCAGCATCACCTCCTTCCCCCACTTCATTTCTCCCAGGCATTCATTCCTCACTTGTTCTCCACAATGTCCAGGCTTAATTAAGTCTTGGCATGCGCAACAGGCATATAATTATTGGGCTTTTTTTTCTTCTGGTATTTGGGCTTGTACTCAGAGCCTCCCACTCTCACTTGGCTTTTCTGCTCTAAGGTGGCATGCTAGCATTTGAACCACAGCTCTACTTCTGGCTTTTTTTACTGCTTCACTGGAGATAAGAGCCTCACAGACTTTCCTGGCCAGGCTGGCTTCAAACTGTGATCCTAAGACCTGAGACTCCTGAGTAGCTGAGATTACAGGCGTGAGCCACTGGCACCCCATAGGACCACCTGTTAGAGGCTTTGTCCAAGCCAGGCTGTGCTTGCTAGATAAGTGCTCTAGCACTTGAGCCACCTCCTGCTCTCTTGCTTTTAGATTTTTTTCTTCCCTCAGATAGCACCTCACACTTCTTTCTATAAAGTACAAGGTCTTATAGATGGTGCTGTGGCTCAAGTGGTACAATGCTAGCTAGCCTTGAGCATAAAAGCACAGGGACAATGCCCAGACCCTGATTTCAAGTTGCAGGAGCAGCACACACAAAAAAATGTGAAGCCTTGAGTTCAAGCCCCAATACTGGCACACACACACACACACACATGCATGCGCACACACACGCACGCACATACACACTCATAATAATAATCAAGTGCAAGGCCCTGAGTTCACAACCCCAATAACTAACCCCCCATACCCATGTTCTACCACTTGAACCATACCTCCAGCCCTTGTTTGCTTTCCTCATTTTTCTAATAAAGTCTAGCTTTTTGTCCAGGCTGACCTGGCCTATAATTCTCCTATGTACACTTCCTATGTAGCTGAAATGTCAAGCTACTACAGCACCATGCCTAGCTTTTTACTGACTGACACAAGGTCTCTCTCTACCATTCTGCCTCCACTGGCTTCACACCGTGATCCTCCCAATCTCAACCTCCTACGTAGCTACAATGACAAGTGTGAGCCACTGTGCTTGGCTTATTTTATGCAATTAATATCTACTAATTTAAAAACAAACCTCTACCTCATAGAAAACTTAATTCAAAGTACAGCATGGGGATGTGGCTTAGTGGTAGAGTGCTTGCCTAGCATGCACAAAGCCCCAGTTTGATTCCTTAGCACCACATAAACAGAAAAAAACAGAAGTGGTGCTGTGGCACAAGTGGTAGAGTGCTAGCCTTGAGCAAAAGAAGCTCAGGACAGTGCCATGGCCCTGAGTTCAAGCCCCAGGACTGGCAAAACACATACATACACACACACACACACACACACACACACACACACTCATAAAAACTTCAAGGCTTTGAAAAATTCAGGAGAAATTCTCCATTACCTGATTCTTCAGCCTGACACCACAAAGTTTTTCCTTAAGAAAATAAAAATGTTCAGTATTTGCATCTCCGCTAGGAAGATGCAAATTACAACACAATGGAGTCAGGCAAGGTGGCTCATGCCTATAATCCTAGCTACTTAGGAGGCTGAGATCTGAAGATCGCAGTTCAAAGCCAGCCCAGGCAGGAAAGTCTATGAGACTCCTATCTCTAATAAACCACCAGAAAACAGGAAGGGGTGCTGTGGCTCAAGGGATAAAGTGCTTGCCTTGAGCTGAAAAGTACAGGGACAATGCCCAGGCCCAGAGTTCGAGCCTCACAACCGATAAAAACAAAAAAACAAAAACCCCACAGTGGAGCTAGGTGCTAGTAGCCCATGCCTGTAATCCAAACTACTCAGAAGGATGAGATCTGAGAAACCATGGTTTGAAACTAGCCCAGGCAGAAGTCTGTGAGACTCTTACCTTAAATTAACCACCAAACGTCCAATGTAGAGCCCTGGCTCAAGTGATAAAATATCAGTCTTGAGCAAAAAAGCCAAATCATAGTGCAAGGCCCTGAGTTCAAGCCTCCAGTATCAATGTACTGGGCCTAATTCATCTTATATTGTATTGCACACAACACATAAGCACACACACTTTTGCCAGTACATTTTGGTTATCTTTGTCCATCTTGTATGGATACTTTCTCTTTCCAACAACTGTACATCAGTCAATGTACAGAGTTCAAAAATAAAAAAGGGCTGGGAAGGTGGCTCAGTGGTAGAGCGCTTGCCTTGCATACATGAGGCCATGGGTTCCATTCCTTAGCACCACATAAGCAGAAAAAAAAAAAGCTGGAAGTGGCGCTGTGGCTCAAGTGGTAGAGCGCTAGCCTTGAGCTGAAGAACTGAGGGACAGCGCCAGGCCCAGAGTTCAGGCCCATGACCGGACCCAAAAAATAAAAATAAATAATACCAAGTCTACAATTAAAACAAATCTGGAGCCAGCTGCCGGTAGCTCACCTATAATCTTAGTTACTCAGGTAACTGAGATCTGAGGATAGAGGCTCAAAGCCAACATGGGCAGGAAAGTCCATGAGACTCTTATCTCTAATAAACCACCAGAAAACCAGAAATAGTGCTATGGCTCAAGTGGTAGAGTGCTAGCTTGAGCTGAAGAGCTCAGGGGCAGTGCCCAGGCCCAGAGTTCAAGCCCCACAACCAACATCAACAAAAAAAAAATCTGGAAAAGATAAAAAAAAAAAAAAACAAGAAAGATGAAAGTGGTACAGGTGGTAGAGTGCTTGTGTAACCAGAAAACAAGCTGAGTTCAAATCTCAGGGTTACTTAAAAAAAAAAAAAAAAAGCAACAAGCTGGGACCTATGGCTCATGCCTGTAATCCTAACTACTCAGAAGGCTGAGATCTGAAGTTCACAGTTTATAGTCTGCTTGGGCAATAAAGTCCAGGAGATTCTTATCTCCCATTAAGTAGCAAAGTGCTGGAAATGGTGGTGTGGCTCAAGTCATAGAGCACCAGCCTTGAGGGAAGAAGCCAAGCAGAGTTCAAGGTTCTGAGTTCAAGCCCCAACATCAATGGTACTGGACCTAATTCATCTAAGTTATAATTTCCTGCCTTTTCTATAACCAGCACACATTACTAGACACTTCTAGAACACTGTGTTGTTTCCAAGGGATTAGACTCTTGAGCTAACCCTCTTTTTTTTTTTTTCCTGGTCATGGGGCTTGAATTCTGGACCTGGGCACTGTCCCTGAGCTCTTTAGCTCTACCACTTGAACCACAGCACCACTTCTGGTTTTCTGGTGGTTTATTGGAGATAAGAGACTCACGGACTTTCCTTCCTGGACTGGCTTTGAACCATGATCCTCCGACCGCAGCCTCCTGAGTAGGTAGGACACACTGTGCATGAGCCACCAGCGCCTGGCTTTTTTTTTTTTTTTTTTTTTGCCAGTTCTGGGGTTTGAACTCAGGGTCTGCTGGGCACTGTCCCTGAGCTTCTTTTGCTCAAGGCTCTATCACTTGAGCCACAGTGCCACTTCTGGCTTTTTCTGTTTTTGTGGTACTGAGAAATTGAACCCAGGGCTTCATGTATGCTAGGCAAGCACTCTATCACTAAGTCATACTCTCAGCCCCAAGCTAACACTCTTTTTTTTTGGGTCCGGTCGTGGGGCCTGAACTCTGGGCCTGGGCGCTGTCCCTCAGCTCTTCAGCTCAAGGCTAGCACTCTACCACTTGAGCCACAGCGCCACTTCTGGTTTTTTTCTTTTTGCTTATGTGGTGCTAAGGGCCTCATGCATGCAAGGCAAGAGCTCTACCACTGAGCCACCTTCCCAGCCCAAGCTAACACTGTCAACTGAATTTACACCATTTCATGGCAGAACACAATGGTCTTCTCCATTTGGAATTAAGCCATGTAATGGGGAGATAGTGACATGAGGATTCTTGTATTTTTTAAACCCTTGACAAAACTAGCAAAGCCAATTTTCAAGTACATAATTCAGAGAAACTTTCTCTAGTGTGTGTCCAAGGTGAAACTTGAACTCAGGGCCTTGTGCTCTTGTTTAACTTTTTCCATGAAGGCTAGTGCACTTCCACTTAAGAGACAGCTCTACTTCCAGCTTTTTGCTGGTAAATTAGAGATAAGAGTCCCTCAGATTTGTCTATCTGAACTAGATTTGAACTGGGATCCTCAGATCTCAGCCTCCTAAGTAGCAGGGCATGAGCCACTGGTACCTGTCCGTAAAAACTTTCTTTAAAAATATTTTTTTGGGCTGGGAAGGTGGCTCGGTGGTAGAGTGCTTGCCTCACATGCATGAGGCCCTGGGTTCGATTCCTCAGCACCACATAAGCAGAAAGAGCCGGAAGTGGTGCTGTGGCTCAAGTGGTAGGGCGCTAACCTTGAGCTGAAGAGCTGAAGGACAGTGCCCAGGCCCAGAGTTCAGGCCCCACGACCAACAAAAAATAAATATATTTTTTTTATTTTATTTTTTACGCCAGTGACTTAAGCCTGTAATCCTAGCTATTCAGAAAGTTGAGATCTGAGGATTGTGGTTTGAAGCCAATCCAGGCAGCAAAGTCTGTAAGTCTCTTGCCTACAATTAAGTGCCAAATAGTCAGAAGTGGAGCCGTGACTCAAGTGCTAGAGTACTGGCCTTGAGCAAAAAAAGCTCAGGTGCAGCACCCAGGTGCTGAGTTCAAACCCCAGGATGACCCCATCCCACCCCCTGAAAAAAAAAAGAGGGAGAGAGAAGGGAAAGCTCATCATACACACACATCATCATTTCTCTAAAAAGGCAGAAAAGTCAGGTCTTTCTAAGGTCAGCCACCTATGCACACCTGTCTCCTAGAGAGAACACACGACCTCATTCCATCCCTAAGCAGGTGACTGGAACCGCTCCCCTCACCTCCTTCAGATCCTGCAGGAGAGCCGTCAGCCTCTCGTTCTCCGCCTGGACATTGGTGACCACAGCCCGGCTCTGCTTCAGCTCGTTCTGCATCTCCAAAATCTTGCCCAGGTAGTAGGCTTCCTTCGAGGCCGACTCCTGCAGCAGCGTCTCCTCTCGGCTCTCTCCATCCTCGGCCACTTTCCGGTGGATGGAGTAGGACTGCCCGAATGCCTGCAGTGTTCGGGAAGAAAGAAGGAGACAATGAAGTACATTGCAAAACTACAAACAGGCATGGGAATTTATTTATTTTTTTGGTCAGTCGTGGAGCTTGAACTCAGGGCCTGGGTGTTCTCTCATCTCTTCTGCTCAAGACTAGCACACTACCACTTTGAGTCACAGTCCCAATTTCCAGTTTTCTGGTGGTTAATGGGAGGTAAGAATCTCACTGACTTTCCTGCTAAGGCTGGCTTTGAATCTGAATCCTAAGATCTCAGCCTCCTAAGTAGCTAGAATTACTGGCATGAATCACTTGACTGTTCCTTGATTATTGTTTGTTTGTTTGTTTGTTGGTCCTGGACTTTGAACTCAAGGCTCTGTTCCTGAGCCTCTCTATGTTCAAGGTTGGAGCTCTACCACTTTTAGCCACAGTGCCACTTCCAGCTTTTTCTGTTTATGTGGTACTGAGGAATCAAACCCAGGGCTTCATGCATGCTAGGCAAGCACTCTACCACTTTGCCACATTCCTAGCCTTTCCTTTATTTTTCATTTGTATATGTGTATGTGTACAATACTGGGGCTTGAACTTAGGGCCTGGGCATTGTCCTTGAGCTTTTTTGATCAAGGCTGTGGCTCTCTACTATTTGAACCACACTTCTACTTTCAACTTTTTTGCTGGTTAATTGGAGATCAGAGCCTCATGGATTTGTCTGCCCAAGCTGGCTTTAAACTTCTGGTTTTCAGGTGGTTAATTGGAGATAAGAGTCTCACAGACTTTTCTGCCTGGGCTGGCTTTGAACACAATCCTCAGATCTCAGCCTCTTGAGTATCAGCTAAGATTATAGGTGTAAGCCAGGGTCTTCTGGCTCTTCCATTTAATTTTTTTAATTATATTTAAATTGTTGTACAAGGGGTTTTTCAATTCAACTTATCAATTTATAAGTAAAATGTACTTTTTAGAAACTTTGAAACTTTCTTCAACTATCTTTAGACAGGGATTGGTGGCTCACGCCTGTAATCCTAGCTCGTAAGGAAATCTGAGGAACAGAGTTCAAAGTCAGCTTGGGCTGTGAGATTCTTTTTGCTTTGTTTTGTTTTTGTTGTTGTTGTTGTTTTTTTGGGGGGGTCTGGTTGTGGGGCCTGAACTCTGGGCCTGGGCACTGTCCCTCAGCTCTTCAGCTCAAGGCTAGTGCTCTACCACTTGAGCCACAGCGCCACTTCCGGCTTTTTTCTTTTTGCTTATGTGGTGCTGAGGAACCGAACCCAGGGCCTCAGGCATGCAAGGCAAGCGTTCTACCACTGAGCCACCATCCCAGCCCCAGGGTATGAGATTCTTATCTCCAACTAACTACCAAAAAGCCAAAAGTAAAGCTGTGACTCAAGTGGTAACCTTGAGCAGAAAACTTAAGGGATAGTGTCAATGTCCAAGGAATGGTACAAAAAAAGAAAAGGCTGGTGGCTCACTCCTGCAATCCTAGCTACTCAGGAGGCTGAGATCTGAGGACTACAGTTCAAGCCAGCCCAGGCAGGAAAGTCTATGAGACTCTTATCTCCAATTAAACATCAGAAAACCAGAAGTGGCACTATGGATCAAATGGTAGAGCACTAGCCTTGAGCTGAAGAGCTCAGGGACAGCACCCAGGCCCACAGTTCAAGCCCCATGACTGACCAAAAAAAAGAAAAGAAAGAAAAGAAAAGAAGAGCAGAATTTTAGATTCCTTTAGTGTTTCATCCATCATGTCATTTGGTTTTTAAGCACTTGGTCATAAGAAAACAAACTCAAAATGTGTTTTACCTACTTTAAGTAGGGATCAATATTTTTCTGTCAGGTTCAATAGTTAAGATAGAGTGGCTATAAACATATCAACAAGGCAATGTTTCTAACTTTGTGAGATATTCTTCATCAAGAAATTGATACTCATTGATTTAAAACATGCGTAGAATTGGGGACAGTACAAAGGACATCAAACCTTGCTCAAAATGGGTTCTCCCATAGAACAGCTTCATTACCTGAGATGAGGCTGTACCTTCTACATAGAGTCTAACCATCATTTCACCCAGAGAAATGCCAAGCAGAGACCACCTTCTCCCCTTCCCCAGAAAAAAGATATATTCACATTTCAGTGGCCTTTAAAGAACAATGAAATTGGGTGCTGGTTGTGCATGCCTCTAATCTAGCTACTCAGAGAGCTGAGATATGAGGATCATGGTTCAAAGTCATCCCAGTCAGGAAAGTCCATGAGACTCTTATCTCTAACCAGTATAAAGCCAGGGTAGAGGCATGGCTCAAGTGGTACAGTGCCAGCTATAAACAAATAATCTCAAGATGAGGTCCCTGAATTCAAGTCTCAAAACCATCAAAAAAATTTAAAAAAGGAGAAGAATCAACTAGCAAGAAAACAACTGTATAGTTATATTTTTGTAAGAAAACAACACATGAAAAAAATAGAAGGAGCAAAGAAGGCAAAACTATTTGCAACACAGTGATAAAATCCCTAGAACACAAAGATTGCCTATAAACAAGGGAAACAATAAACTACCCAAAAAGGAAAAAATGTGATGATGTTTCATTTCTGCCATAAAAAAAGATGAAAGTATGTTCAAGATTATTATGGGAAGGCTATTTTAGAAACTATATGAGAAGTAGAAAATATTTTCGTTCTTTTTCTTTTGTGTGTGTCGGAGGGAGGGAGATGCGGGGGGATCTGAAGCTTGAATTCAGAGCCTGGGCATTGTTCCTGAGCTTTTTTGCTCAAGCTAGTGATCTACCACTTGAATCACAGCTCTACTTCCAGTTTTTTGCTAGTTAAATGGAACTAAGAGTCTCACAGACTTTCTGTCCAGGCTGGCTTTGAGCATGTTTAGATCTCAGCCTCCTGAATAGCTAGCAGGCGTGAACTACCAATTCCCAGATTTTCCTTTTTTTCTTTAGTCCAAAATCTTATTCTTATGGAATAAGAAAACCCTAAAAAATTCACATTCATTTATCCAGGCCAATATTTCTTGCAAGTAAATAGTAAAAAAAAAAACAAAAAAAAAACCAACATATGCTTTGAAGAAAACTGTCAGATGGCTAGGTACTAGTAATTCACACCTGCAATCCTAGGTACTCAGGAGGATAGTGGTCCAAAGCCAGCCCAGGCAGGAGACTATTACCTCCAATTAACCACCAAAAAGACAGAAGTGGAGCTGTGGTTCAAGTGGTAGAATGCTAACCTTGGGAGAAAAACCTTAGGGACAGTGCCCAAGCCCTGAGTTCAAGCCCCAAATCAATGAATTTGAGTACATTTATTGAAAATTTCATAAATGGAGGATGCTTACTGAAACTCTGTTTATCTGAAAGACCATTGGTCTGTTCTAAATAGGGTCTCTCTTAATCTTGGAAGTGTTTGCGTTGGGTGTAGGCGTTTCATGCATATGTTATCCACACATTCTTAGCTGTTTAGCAACATCCCTGGCCCCTATCTCTATGTGCCAGCAATAGCCACACCAGAAAACCAGCAAACATCTTTCTGGTTGAGAATCACCTGCCTAGACAATCTCTACTGTCACTTCAAATTATAAAATCAATGATCTGCTAATCCCTGTTAAAAATGTGAATATCTCAGCCTCCTACTGGTACTCACTCCTGTAATCCTAGCTACTCAGGAGGCTGAGATCTGAGGATTGTGTGGTTCAAAGCCAGCCTAGGCAGGAAAGTCTGCACAACTCTTATTTCCAATTAACTATCAAAAAGCTGGAAGTAGAGCTGTAGTTCAAGTGGTAGAGTGCCAACCTGGAACAACAAAAAATGCTCGTGGACAGGGCCCAGACCCAGAGTTCCAAGTCCCAGGATTGGAAAGAAAGGAAAGAAAGGGAGAGGGAGAGGGAGAGGGAGAGGGGGGAAAGGAGGAAAGGAGGAAGGGAGGAAGGGAGGAAGAAAGGAAGGGAAGGAAGGAGGGAGGCAGGGAGGGAGGCAGGGAGGGAGGGAGGGAGATCAAGCCCTTTTGCCAAATGTTGCTTATATAATCGTATGTTGGCCTACTTAGGGACTAACTGTTCAATAGGTAAAGCTACACCTTGCCTGCGCGCATGCGAGGTAGAAGTTCTGAAACTCTTGAAGAGCAGAGTAGAATCTGAGGAACTAAGTCCTGGATATTCCTGGGAGAAGTGCAGAAGCAGATTGCCGTACACAAGTGATGTTTACACAATGTCTCGAGAAGCTTTTGTTCATAAGCAGCTTAGACAGCTTTTATTTTTTGAATGTATATCCTGCCTAATTACCAAAAAGATATCTGCTGTAGCATGCAGAGAAATATATGTAATGAAATGGAGAGAAAATCAGAAAAAATAGGAGAAAATAGTTAAGGAGCAGGGAAAAACAAATATTAAAATTCTGAAAGTCAATACTGTGTGTGTGTGTGTGTGTGTGTGTGTGTGTGTGTCTGTATGTGGTGATGAGACTAAAACAGCTTAAAAATTTAGGAAGTCTAAGAAAAAACTGCAAAAAAAAATGATCTAATTTCTACTGTCAGAGGAGGGGAGTTATTCTCCCCTTTATATGCAGTGTTATCTATGCCCCAGGCTGGCCTGGAACTCAAAATCTTCCTGCCTTGACCTGCAGCAATCACTGGGGTTCCAGGCAGGTGCAACTATGCCCTGTTCCTAATTCATCTTTAATGTAATTCCTCTGATCTCTAATGAGAACTTCAGCCTCTCCATTCTATATGGTGCCTCTTGAATCTTTCCCGAGACTTACTTTTGCCAAAACAAAGGCAGGACAGTGCTAGTTAAACATACCCCTACCCCTTTCATTACTCAACAGCTCAACTATACTGGCACAGGGCATAGTGGTCATTAAAAATAATTTTGAACCAGGTGTCAGTAGCTTACTGTAACCCTAGCTACTCAAGAGACTAAGAGCCAAAGATTCCAATTTGAAGCCAGCCCAAGCCTAAAAGTCAATGAGATTCTTATCTTTAATTAAGCAACAAAAAGTCTTCGAAGTAGAAGTGTTACTCAAGTGGTAGACTGTT